CCTATGTCATCGTCAATTGTGGGCACAGCGACACTTACGATGGACTCAGAGGAATTGGAATCAAGTCGTCTTCAGTGATGAATCCCGATTTAATCTTCGATTTGCTGATGGTAGGGCGAGGGTGTGGAGGTGCCGTCATGAACGTTATGCCCAGTGTTGTGTACAGGAAGTTGACAGATTTCGAGGCGGAAGTGTCATGGTGTGGGGTGCTTTCTGGCTTCTTGTCATCCGTGGCAACCTCAACGCTACTGCTTATCACAACCAGGAACTGGCACCAGAACTTCTGCCTTTTATGGCAGCACATGGACCCGGTTTGATCTTCCAACACGACAATGCCAGACCCCAGCAATTTTGACAAGGAATTTCCTTCAGAATGTGGGAGTCAACGTCATGGACTGGCCGTCAAGGTCTCCCAACCTCAGTCCCATCGAACACGTCTGGGATGCTCTTGGCAGAAGTCTGCGCACTCTCCAGAACCAACCACAAAATTTGCAAGATCTTGGCACCATTTTGCAGCAACAATGGCGTCGTCTTCCCAATCATGTGTTCACAAGCATCACAAGGTCAATGCGGAGGCGTTTTTGTGGCAGTTGTCAACGCACATGGTGGCCATACACCCTACTGAACTTGTGTGCCATCAGATTCTCATGCTTGGGACTTATGATTGAAACTGTTGATGTTATTACTGAATACCGTAGGTGCTTGGAACGAATTATGGTTACCACCGTTAATTAAAATCCTTCTTTGGACATTAATGATTAAAAATTACCTTCTCTGATACATTTGTCCGTTGTATATCATATATGGGATTTCTTTTAAAAATGTGAAGTTTTTAATTTGACACAGTATATTTAGATTTTACTAATTCCTTGGATGTTTTTTTGGTCATATTCAATGTCACACTAGCTTGCTGCTTACGACCATAAATTCTTATATAACCTAAATCACAATTTCACAAATTTATTAGTAGTTGCTCCCAAAACCGTGATAACAAGTCATTACATTATTTTGTTTACTTTTATCCAGTACAGTGCCAGCAATGTCAATGAAAATTTACTTGCCTGAATGTTGGACACCATCTGTGAGTATGCTGAAGCCGCTGGCTGGAAGCCAGGCCGAGAAAGAAGACCACAACCCTGTTGAACAGCAGGCGCAGGCGCAGAAGGAGGTGCCAACGCTGATATCAAAGATGTCAGAGGTGCCTGGGACAGCGGAGAAAGTGGAGGTGAAAGAAGGTGCTCAGCACCTTGGTAGGCAGAGGAGGCAGTGGAATACAGGCGAAGTTCCAAGTCCTCTAGATCCAAGCGCCTATCCAGGAGCCACTCACCTGTCCATTGTTCATACGGTTATCACTCATCAGTAGGACTGTGTATGTACCTCATTATGAGATGTCACCTGAGAGGGACAGACATCTGAGCTTCTCTCAGATACCTGACTGGATGGCGGACCAAATTGCTGCGGTAGTGCCTTCTTCAGGTGCGAGAGTTGTCAAGAACGACACCATATGGTCACAGCCCACCTCCATTCCTCCAGATCCTATGCTCAAGGATACGGTCACTGCGCTGGCTCTGCTCTCACTCATTGCAGGTTCAAGAAGAAGGACTGCCCCATCCATGCCTTTGAGGTGGCAGACATTGCTCTTGATTTGGACAAGGACCTTCTTTGAATCATGGGGTCCTCGAAGCTGACCACTCAGGTCAGATCACTGATACCCGGATGGCGTTCAGTGAGACAGAGATTAGAAGCCATTGTCTGTTCAGGCTTCCTCATCTCGGGCCACAGACCAGGATCTGACGGAGACAAATGTCAACTGAGTTTATCATCTCCAGGCAGTTATATATTATCAAGAGATGCAGATCGACCACATGAGGAAAAAATTACCACCACTTGCCATCTGGGATACCTGGCCCTTACCAACTGGGTTTTCAAACGCAGACTCCTTCGTCAGCCCTGGTCTGCGAGTTCTGTTTAATGGCCAGATATTGGACACACATTTCCGGGTCTCGAGTTATGCATGAGATTAAGCCCCTAGAGGCACTAGAACATGTCTCCCAGAACTTAGCTCAACAGGACTGGCAGCTACCATGCTCAGTGCTCCTCCCTGAAAGACAGGCAACAACATCTGTGGTAGGAAGACTTGATTTCTGTAAAGAGACTATTAGATACTACAATATAACCAAATTAATTGCATCCTCAAATTGCAATTATACAGCTTTCTTTCAGTTCTGATCTTCCTTCCACAGACTTTTCAATCCTAGCAAAGAATATTGGTATGATATCATATTTTATGATTGTCTATGTTTGCAATATGTTTTGAATGTTTGATGTTAAGAGAGTGGATTTTGATTTGTATAATTGTTGAAATGTTAAACATTGTATTTTATTTGAAATGTGAATACAGATTTAAATAATAAAAAAATTAATTTTCAACAATCATTATCCAGAGCCTCTGCCATTCTTCTGAATGAAAACCTTGAGACTGCTCAGAACCATAATCAATGCCAATGATTCCCTGATCAGTATTGAGCTGGAGGATGCGTACCTGCATGTACCTATCCATCCCAGGGCTCACCGATTCCTCAGATTCCAATTCAGTGCTGCCCACTACCAATGGGTGATCCTCCCATTTGGCACTTCAGCGCGACCCCGTGGCTATTTACCCGCATTACCAAGCCAGTGGCCACCTGCCTCCACCTGAGGAACATTCGGTTCGAATCCTACATAGATGATTGTCTTCTGAAAAACCCGGATTCATTAACCTTGCTCCTTTACTGGGATTTTACCAGGCACTTCTGTTGGAATGGATGGTCAACGAGTTGAAGTCACCCCATTATGCAGACTTCCAAGTCCTTTTGGGGCAGCAGGTCGCTGCTACTAAGCACCATTGATGCCTCCACATATTCAGAGCCGGCCTTGCGACCCCTCTGGTGTCACCTATGACAAGGAGGCTACATGCTACAGAGCTGCCTCTGGACAATGCCTTCACACAATGCCTTCAGATGTTCTGGTTTTTAGCAGTAATGTGCTGATCCATGACATCATCATGTCCGTGGTCACTTTGGAGCTGTGTGATGGGGTTGGCCTCTCAGCTTGTTGAAACAACCTCTTCTTCAACAAGACCTCACACTCTCTTCCTCTCTGTCAGAGATGTCAGGTGCATTAAGGAGTAATGCAGGATAAGTAGACAAATATTAAAATATCCAGAAAGTTCCAGTAAGTTCCAGTAATGAAAAAATTGGTGTTGGTCAATGGTACTGTAACACTGTTGCTCTATGAAACATTTACAGGAATGTTCTTTACTAGGTTATGCAGGTGTGTGGTTCTGGTGTACAGTATAGAGACCAAAAGATCAAACATCGCAAAGAAACATCAAGTCAGAAGTTGCTGAACTGCAAGATCAGAAACTTCTGACTTGACGTTGATCAGAAGTTGCCGAATTGCAAGGTCAGATAACTGTGAAGATTCAGGGTAGAATAGGTCTTCATGCTTGCCGTAAAAGGTGACTGCTTGTTGTAATAGGCGACTAACAGGATCGGGTGGTCAGGCTCGCTGACTTTGTTGATGCATGTCATCGATCCCAATTGTGTGGATCGATGCTTATGATGTCATTCACTAGATTGTCTGGCCCAGACTCAATTATTTACAGACCGCCATCATATAGCTGGAATATTGCTGAGTGTGGCATTAAACAACAAACAAACAGACAGGTGCAAGATCAGATGTAACATTAAATAATGGAAAGGATCACTCAATGACATTTTACTGTTGTGCAAGACATGGAGAAACAGGCCAATAAATGACCTTAATTCATTCTGAGGGAAGAAATGAATGGTGTTATACATGACTGTGTATACTATATAATTGTCAAAAGACTGCAGACTGTGAATTTCGTCACTTCTGGACCAGAGATCCATTCCACAAAGCAATCATGAGGTGAAGACAATTGTTACTCCCATCCTTTAACAAAGATTTATGACAGCAGTTGTACAGCTGTGATCGCATTGTGGAACGGGGCCCATATGATGAGAAGTCAGGTTTATATTTGTGGCTGTGATGCTTAAAAAGATCCAAGTATTCTGAACCATTAATATCTTCAGCTTAATCATCATTCAGTGAATATTGCTGAACATGATTTCGTACAAAGATATTGACTTGAATAAGAGATAGAAACAATTACACCTATTTTTTATGATTTGTGTATTCCAAAATACCTGCCAATAAAGCCAAGGTAGATAAATGCGATAACCAACATTTCATATTTTACACTTGTCAGTTGGACCAAATCTGTTTTTAGATGACTGGTCCAGAATAATGTTTCTTGACTTCTGTCTTATGAACTAGTGTACTTACTGAACCCTGATAATTGATGCAAGCACAAGAAATGGGGATATTACAACAAGTAATTCAATTGATGTAGAAATAACTGCCCATGCCATTGATAAAGTTTATTTATTTGGTAAACATCTTTTTTGTCTAGACAATATTGACCTGTATGAACTCAAAATCTGGTATTATATCTTCATTATGCATTGTTATGATAAAGTGTCATGTGCATTGTCAGTTCATTATCCTTGCTGATACCAGAAATCTTCAAAAACATGTAAATTCTGCTTTTTTTTACCAACAAAAGCTTTAGATTTATTGAGTAATTTTATCCAAAGGTTGTGATTACTCAGAGAATAATAAAGATTCTTGGCATTATTTCCCAAATGCTGAGCTGCATGCGTAGTCATTTGTATCGGCATCAATCAACTGAATTCATTTGAATGTGATCCTCATTGTACGTGTTTGATGATTAAACGTTGAGCATTGACCAAACAGCACTGATTCACAGCCTATGAACCTTTGAATAGAAACACAAAGATGAAAGTGGGTGGTAAGTGAAAACTTACCATGGCTTAAGAATGGGATATGGCAGGTTTGATCATGTAATTTCATGCTGTCAGGCACAGTATAATGGGTCTTCACCTTCATGCAAACGCATCTATATTTTTTTCCAGCATGTACGTCGTACTGGCTGGGTACAGAAAAAAGTTGGTGTTGGAGGGGGTCCTGAGAGTGTTGCTGACCACATGTACAGAATGGCTGTGCTGTCTTTCCTTGTAGACCCTGGGGCAGGATTAGATAAACACAGGTTACATCACTTTAATATCATTTGACAACAGTAAGAAGTTTATAATTATTTATCATCCTACAGTTTGAAATGATAAGCGTGTAACTAATCATGCTGATTAGGTAAATGATCATGATCTGTACTTATGTGTTTTCAGATTTGCGGATCTTACTGAGAATTTGATGCCCAGACATTTCATTTGTGATCATAAGCCGTACATTTTAAATGTTACTAGTTTCAATAACACATGTAAATATGAATACAAATTATGTTTATCAATTATACAATGGTAACCTGTCATTTACAGTAGCACACACATTCTTTCTCTGTGTCCTAAAACAGCTGTGAGACATGTTTGTCACACTTTGGAGTACAATGGATTTCATGTCAATTAAAACTGTCTGGTTAGCAGAATGCAGTAAAGCATAAACAAAAAGTGTTTTGGTGCAGAATAATTCAAACTTAATTTAAAAAAGAATATCATATTCATATTGGATGCCAAACTCCATGGTTTAGGCTCACCTGACTGAAAATAAACTAAACTTCTGTCAAGTCATGCAATCTCTTTGACGACGTTAGAAACCACTGGAACAATGAAGTTGAAACTTCATGTGCATGTTCCCAACAATGCTGACTAACATGTTCCATTTTAGGCATTTAAAATTTTTTTCATTCCTTTGTTCTTTGTGCTGACCATGCCCTTGAATTCTTTCAAAATGCATTTTCTTGTTAAGAGGAGACTAACGGGATCGGGTGGTCAGGCCTGCTGACTTGGTTGATGCATGTCATCGTATCTCAATTGCGTGGATCGATGCTCATGATGCCAGTCTGAGGATTGTGTGGTCTAGGCTCGATTATTTACAGACAGTCATCATAATAGCTGGAATATTTATGAGTGTAGTGTTTAACAACAAACAAACAGCATTTCCTTGTTCTGTAAGCATCATCTACTCAAGAACCAATGAAGGTGGTACCTGAAATGATACCTGAATTTGTTGAAATTTGTTGAGTTCAATTATTTCATATCGCCACCATGACAGCCACATTGCAAAACCTATTGAGGGGCATAACTGAGCAAATTTTGTTCAAAATGTACTGAAAATTGGTGTTTGAGACTCAACACAAGTGTTTGTCTTTTGACCATTCTTTCAAATTCACTCAAACACATTTTTGGCTCTATAAGCATTAACAGGAACTGTATTTTCTTCTTTTGATGGGCATCTTATTTTGTTCAAATCTATAGAATTTTGCAGAAAATACTTGACTGCTGACAGCAACATTTGTTAAGTGTTTTTCTTTGTTGACATTTATAACTACAGACTATTTATCCAGCTCTGTTTTTTATGATGTTTGAATCTAAGTTTTAATATTATCACCGTCAGCCATATTGAAAATATTTTCACCTTTGCACTTTGGATCAATTCCCTCACATTGTCTCATAAATGTACTTCCTTACATTGTAAACTTCATTTACTCAGAAACCAATGAAGCTGAAACTTCACATGCTTGTTCCCAACACTGATGACTCCTGAATTCTTTAAAGACGTTTGAATCTGATTTTCAGTGTGCACCATCATGACTCATATTTAAAATAGCTATTTTGAGATATTACTGCAATTTGGTACATATGTAGTTAGTACATATAAATTCCTTTTTTTACAATACTTTGCATTTTGACCTTTGCACTTTGATCATACTGAAAGCAAAACCTTCTTATGACCATTACTCAGCCATTTTCTATCAAAATGTAATTAAATTTGTGTGTATATGTGTGTTTGATAGTGGGGCTCAACAAATATGTTCTGGTTTGGTGATATTTTAAATATTGACCTTCAATGTATATTTGACCGGTGCAGTTTGAATATGCTGCTAAATTTTCCAAAATGCTTTTCCTCACTCTTTAAACATATCGGTTCTCCTCAGAAACAGCTCAAAATTTACTGTAATACAGTTTTATACTCTGTACACATCTCTGAAATTGCTAGACTGAGGAATGGTTCTCCTTATGATGGCATCATATTTTGTTCTAATCATTAGGACTTTACTGCCTTTGTGAAACAGTTGTAATATGCTGCTATGGCACTATTTTGTTTAAATATAGCATAGTGATATAAATACAGTTTTTTGGCTGTTTTTGTCAACTTAAATGTTTATCTCATTAAGTGACGTGGCAAAGGTAATGTTTCCTTGAATGATGCGTCCATGAGTGTTTCTTTGACAGGTCAGGAGATATGCTAAGCATGTTATTTGACAGGGAAAGCCAAATGTGTTATTTACTAACTGTTCAAAGTCTGAAAACTAGTGTTTCATTGTGGCAAACTGAAAGTATTTCCAACAGTAAGTATTATGGGAAAATTATTTTACTGTAAATTGTATTTGACAAACACAGAGTTTGCCGCCGTCTTGATGCCTGGCATCAAATTTTTTTGTAATCCATTAAATGCAAGATTTTTGTACAAATCAGGCTCATTGCAACACACAATGGACACTTGTTTTGCAATTTCAATTTGTTCTGAGGAGGATAAAGTGAATGGATTTGTTTCAGACATGGTTATGGATGTTAAGTAGTAGATAAAATATATGGTTGAAAAACAGATTTCATTTAATTCAGAATTTTCACACTTTGTTAATTTATTTACATAGATTTACATGATATTAACTTCTTATGTAGGTGTATGAAGATTGCTCTAGTTCACGACATGGCTGAGTGTATTGTGGGTGATATTACACCACAGGATGGCATCAGCAAGGAGGACAAACATAAGAAGGAGAAGGTAAGCTACAACATACAATTGACAGGTTGGGGGGGACTTTTCAGGGGGCATTATACAGCGGAGATGAAGAGATATACCATAAACGTGTTCGCAGACAGAAGAAGGGGAATACAGTGAATATGGATGTCACGAACACGGATCGAGCAAACAAATGGGTACAACAAACTGTTTCAAAATCCCCAATCCTCTATATTATCATATGAAATGTACATATATAATGAACTCTCAACAGTGAACTAACATATATGGCGAATTGATATCTGATCCCTGACAAGGCAAAATGCCACTAATTAGTAATGTGTATACCGAACTGAGAAATCTCACTCAGTATCAAGTGTCACTGACAATTGGCTATATGCAATCAGCACCAAATCAACACAAACAGCGATGACAATTCAACCTCGTTAAACTTGCTTTATTTTAATCTTACCTGTAATTGGACCAATCTTGTCTGTAAAACAAATTTCATGAGATTATGTCAAAGTGTTAGTTCACTTGCACTTGCACACTTGTAACACTGTGTGGATCAACCGTTTTAAGCAGAGGCAGGGATCGTAGCCAAATCTGCGCATGACGATTGCGCAGCAGTTGACACAAACATTGTCAACGATTGATTGACCTCTCAAATTCCAGGTTTTCTTGAAACACATGAGCCAGAAAACGTTTTCAATGCTGATGAACCTGGCCTTTTCTATAAACTGACACCCTAGAGAATTCTGAGAAATGTAGTGGGGGAAGAAATCTAAGGACAGAATACCTCTGTTAGTAGCAGCAAATATGACGGGCACATAAAAACTGAAATTGCTTGTTGTTGGTAAATCTCAGAAACCTTGTTGTTTTAAGAATGTTAGAAGTATGCCAGTCATCTCCCATGCCAACACAAAAGCTTGGATGACGGGTGAAATATTCACTGATTGGATTCCATATCTAGATGAGAGCATGGCCAAACACAAGCGTAAGATTGTTTTGTTTGTTGACAACTGCTTACTGTGTCGAATGTCATGAAAATTAACTTGTGTTATTGCCACCCAACACAACATCCAAGATCCCACTGAAGGACCAGGGGGTTATCGCCAATCTCAAACAACATTAAAAACGTCAGATGATGACAAGTATGCTATCCTGTTATGACAAGAAACAAGAGTATGTGATAACCATATTGAATGCAATCAAGATGGTTTACCGCGCACGGCGGCAAGTCACTACAACATCAGTCAAGAACTTTTTTTCGGAAGAGGTGGCTTTGTGTTGACCAATTGGGCGGCTGAATCTGATAGTGACGAATCTGACAACATTCCGTTATCAGACTTGAGGGATATTTGGACTGAGTTGAAGAAGGTGTCAGACATTCCAACTGAAGAGACTCTCCAAGAGCACATAGACGCAGTTCAGTCAAGCAGATTCCGATGATGAAAACACGCAAGACGGGATCGACTGTGTGGAACCAGCAACACACTATTTTACGATGCCAGTAAGGCTCTTGAAACACTAAAGATTTTCCTGAGTGCACAAAAGTCAACTGAGATGAAATCATTTGATACTTTGGCTGAACTCAACGAGGCAATTTCACAAATGAAACACACCAACTACACGTCTTCCCATATGTAAGTGAAATGCTTTACATATATGATGAACAATGTTCTATAAATGTTATGTATTTGATGGTATTAAAGGAATATTATGAAATGTTATTAATTGAATGCTATAAAGTGATCACTGCTAATACAAATCAATGCTGCAATAACAAATTTTGTGTTTTATTTTATCCAAGATGGGAGACGTTTCTGAGCAAAAATGTATATGACAAACAATGTACATAATGAACTGATTTCTCCGGTCCCTTGTAGTTCATTATATCCATGTTCTACTGTACTCCATAAAGGTGTCCCATGGAGAATTTGGGTAAGAACTGGTCCATAGCAACCTTTGTCATACAGAGGCTCAGTGACTTGGTTGATGGTGAATAGTTGTTCATAAGATCAATTAATGGATTGTCTTGTCCAGACTATTTCCATCATTAAGTTGGAATATTGCCCAGTTTCTTCTCACGCATCTCATACAGCAGATACTTCAGAACATCCCAGAGCTGCTGACAAAAAGCATTCTGTTGCAGCCCATCACAGGTCTACAGTTCTTCAATAGAAGACTACACTCTATCTATGAAGAGATCCTCCGGACTACAAATGATATTTTCCAGAATTCTACCATCAGCCTGGCCTCGAGGATACATAAACATTCAGCCATTGGCCCAATTATCAAGTTCAGCGAGATCCTCGCCCCAGGCTGGAAAGACAGATCAGCATGTCCCAAGGCTAACATGACTTATATCAAGATCAGCATATTTCTCAAAATCCTGTTGACCTTGCTTTTCTGACGGACATTGATTGCAGACGACTGGTTTTCAACACAACGCCAACCTCAAAGCCAGTAGGGGGGCGTATGATTCTCTACGCTGAAAATTCATAGTCAATCATGGACTATGGCTGGCTGCTCAAAGTTGTAAAAAGAGGCTACAAGCTCCATTTCCTTCAACGTCCATCCCGCAGAGCACCTTTTTTCCCTTTTTTTAGTGATCGTGAAAATAATATATGACATTCAACAATCAAATAACAACAACTATGACTTTTTATGAGTCAAATATGCCATTCCCGAGGTATGTAATCATTCCCTTACAACTAAGGATCGTTAGGCATCACTAGTAGTTATCTGCTCATGGTTGCTTTAAGTAAGGCTTAAAATAATAAAACAATTTGTTATCAGGCAATGACTTTAAAAAAAGTGCAGGCATGCAGTGTTTTGGTTTTTTTGCTTGTTCAAACTAGTAAGTAACCAAATAAACAGTTGTGTACCATCAACCTGGGAAAGGGCCTCCCTACTTAAACAAGCATATAAACTCTTATTGCCGCCATGAGTATAACACAACACAGTAAAGCAGTGCCCATGTAAGGTGAAACTATATCGGATTGCATATAAGGATTCTTCCAAAAAAAATTTAAAATGGCAATAAAAACAGAATGTGCGGCAGACTTTATGATGATGCGGGCGGTGCCTGAGAACCAAGACTATTATTTGTTTTAGCCTAATGGTGAATGGTGTGATATGCCTATCAGTTCACATGAAATTAATATGCACACTGTTGTGAATGTATGTGAAATCTTTAATAAAATTAATGAAATGTGTTATTAACATAAAGCCAAAATATACTGAACACTTTTTATGACCAGATAGTGTAATAACAGGACTAAATTGTATACGTCAGTTCGGATGTGTAGATACTCTATTTCTTGTGAGTGGTGATGTTTTGGCTTACCAAGCAAATTCAAAGCATAATCCCCTTCAACATGTGTAGTTTCTGTAAAACATTGTCAAATATGAAAATAGACATGAAAACAAAGGTGTAACAAACTTTGATTTGCATCGTTTTCTTACATTTTGCATTGGCTCCTGAAAAGTTTGACTTTGTTTTGACCTTTACGTTTTCTTAAAATGCAATGCTTTGCACTGTCCTCTCCTCAGAAAGTACTTGACCTCATTTATTGTCGCTATGAATATAAATATACTATTTATAATACTATAATTAAACCCTGAAGAAAATGTATCTTTAACACTAAGAGTCACAACAAACTATGATGAGTCACGAGAAGAAATAGAAATAATGTATTGGAATATTGCATTTATATTTATTTTTATTTTATTCAACCTACCAACCTAAATTATGAGGTCAATTTCCATAATCCCTCCCCCACCTCCTCTCAAAAGTTAGGCGTTATATGACCTCTATGTTGAAATTATTCAAGAAATGACAGATACAAAGGTAGAGAGCCATATGGCTCAATTTTCTGAGAAGGCACTTTTCAGGAGTTCTCTCGCTACTGTTATGCAACCCATAAACATAACCCTGGAGACCTTCGATTTACATTGTAATTGCATTTCAGACAGCCATGAAACACATCTGCAGTCTGGTGGAAGAGAGTGTTGGGCAAGAGATCTACAGTCTGTGGCAGGTATTTTACAAGCCGGTGGGAGTGCATGCCATTCATGTCACCAATCAATCATTACAATGGGAACAGTGGGGTAGCCAAGTGGTTAAAACTTTCACTCATCACGCCAAATACCTGAGTTCTATTCCCACATGGGTGGAATGTGTAAAAGCCCATTTTTAGTGTCCCCTGCCATGATATTGTTCAAATATTGCTTAAGGCAACGAAAAAGCATACTCACTCACTCGCTTCCTCATTCTTAAGGTGACAAAAGGTCTTGGGCACCAATGAATGATGGGTGATGAGTGGTGTGTAATCACACTCATTTCTGTTGTTTTAAAATTGAATGCAAGGACATAATATTTCTTTATCAGAATGTTAAAATATTTAAATACATCAACAAAGAATGTCGTTCTCTCCAATATAAATGTTTAACTTATCCTATCTCACACGATACAGTTCATCCTTCTTCAATCCTGGTCTGGAATCGATCCTAAAACAAGTTAGCAGCTTCATGAAAACACCAAACCCCAACACCTTAAGCAATGGATTAAAACACTACCTGAATCCTGTGCAACCTGATCACATGGTGTCCCCAGCATACTCATTCTCTTTCTAATCACCTTGGTGTAGAGACATGTTTGAATTGAAGAGAATTATATTTTTGTTTTTAGTCTGTCTCAACAAAGTCAACTGCAAAGGTTATTATGGATAAGCAAGTATGTCCTACATGAGACAATGGTAAACTCACATTTTCTGCATATGACGCTCACTTGTTAGACAATCACCAAGGGCTCGACATGGTTCTACCGATTGCCTTAGCTACCCCTCTCCTAGGGATTGACATCGACAGGGATCGTCTGATCGACATGATTCCACCAATCAACATTGATACCCTCTCATGGGGATCAACCTATTGAAAGGGTTCTACCATTTGACATCCATATTAGGGATCGATATCAACTTGGATTTAACATTCGACATCGATTCCCCTCTCCTAAAGATCGGCATCGACATGGATCGACTGATCAACCCCACAGGCCTCACAGAAAATGTTTTACCCAAGGAGTCAACTTTTTTTCAAGGAGGCAAATAGTTACATTTGCATTTGGAATGTGATATTTGGTTTCACAAAGTAATAAAACACTAGTATAAGTCATCGGACTGCAGTTATATAAAAAAAAAAGAATTGTCAAGGTGAAGCATTTCTGCAAAGTAGCCAACTGGTAAAGGCATTCCTCAAGCCAATGTTTACGTTCTTATCAGCATCATCAGCGGTCTTCTTTGCAGGATTGTAATTATTTGGATTATTATTATCTTCATCAAGTTGCTGCAATGTTGTCTTCTGTACCTTTGTGAAGATCAAAAATTCCCTTGGCTCCACTAAATTTGCAGCTGTTTTTTCCTGAAGACAACCTATACGCATATGTGGTAACTAACCTCTTTGCACCACTGAAACATGCACAGAAAATAGTGGACAAGTGCTTCCTTATATCCATGTTTGGAGCTTACATGCACATTAACGGTAACTAGGAAGCGAAAAGTTACCATTCGCTAGCATAATACATGTATACATTTTAGCAAGATTTGTGTGATCTCAAATGTGCTTTGTTCTTAACTTAATTTGGGGCGGTCGGGTAGCCTCGTGGTTAAAGCATTTGCTCGTCACTCCGAAGACCTGGGTTTGATTCCCGACATGGGTACAATGTGTGAAGCCCATTTGTGGTGTCCGCCGCCGTGATATTGCTGGAATATTGCAGTTTTAAACAAAGTGCTGATAGGCGACTGACACAAATATATCTTTTGGAAAATACAAAATTGATTTCTCCATGTTTGCCACTGCCCTATGAACCTGGGTGTGTTTTACCGATTTAGAAACTTGTCTTCCGGATTTCATTCTAACGCCAGCTCCGGGGAGACGTCTTTTCTCCTTTTCCCAATATTACTATGATGACAGACCCACACAATATTTACGCTGACATAGTCCCAGTACTTGGCATCCGTATTAGTGATGTCTGTTTCTGTAAATCCTTCTAAGTCGTCATATGCTTGTCATAAGAGGTGGTGATGAGTGTGATCAGGTGGTTAGGTTCACCGACTTGGTTGATGCATGTCATCGATCCCAATTGCGTGGATCGATGTGCATGATGTCAATCACTTTATTGTCTGGTCCAGACTCGATTATTTACAGACCGCCGTCATGCAGCTGGAATATTGGTGAGTGCAGCAATAAACATCAAACAAACAAAACTTTCTTAACTACATGTAACTTTTCTTACACTATGTTTGCTCTTGTCATGTTGAAGTTTGAATGGAATTGACATAATACTTCCCTTTATATACAGTACCCTATGTGAAGCTACATCTATTAGTTCTGAAGGTTATTTAATCCAATTCAAAAGGTAATGACCGCCATGTTGTGACAACAATATGCTGTGTGTATTCAGTTTGGCAGGTGAGTTTAACACTCTTGCCTCTAATTGGATTATATGTAATTAAGAACATGAGATTGGCTTGTGGTTCACGCATGTAGTGCGTTTCACAGATCAAAGGATATTTAGTGTGACATGTTAACTCAATCAACAATCATATCACAATCATGTCACGGTTGTTTATTAGGACTATTCAGCAATAAACTGTAGATTATGCAATGAGAACCATGATTACATACAAATGAAAAGTGAACGATACAATCATGTTGTGTGTAAAACTTAAGTTTAATAAAAATGTACGTAAATATTGGAAGTCATACATTACCTCATGCTGTAACCGATAAGCACTATATCGATGGCGTAATAGCAAGGTAACTGTCTATCTGAGACTTGGGCTTATTTCAGGGGATAAAGAAAACTTAGATTCCAATTCATCTAGGACATAGACAAGAGATAGTGATGCAACATACTACACATGCAACATTTTGTTTGTTACGGGCATAAATTCAAGGACTGCAAATTGTTTATACACCAGTGTTTATAAAGAAGAAATGAATTCTACAGCGATACCAAGTCTCCATTACTCATATATGAGATAGCTGATTATTTGTTATGCCTACAGCAAAAAATGCACTGGTTCGTAGTGCTGAATTTTCTCAAACAAGAAATATGGGTCAAGTCTACTGACATTTCAGATGGAAGCAGTACGGAAACTTCACACTCCAGTCTATGATATTGCTGTTACTAGTTTTCTAGCAACTGCGAACATGAATTGCAGCGCTGTTCATAAGATTTGATGACATCCAAATAGTGCATCTGTATGGATCTATCAATCTTCTTTTTGTCCAATTGGGACAGCTTATGCCAAACAGGACTTTTCTGATTCAACTACCGGGTACTATATCATTTTGCAGACAACCAAATCAGAAATCTAGCCAGTACAAAACATTCATTTTAATGCCAGGGGATTGTTGTCGCAACAAGCTCAAAACATTATGGATGGTTACCCATATGAGATTGGCTCATCTACCATGATGGATAGTTTCCTCGGGAGGGATGACATGGCACAAAGTAATGGTATAAAGTAGAAGTGTTGGGCTGGCCTGTCATAGGTAACTGATATTGGTAACAGAGCATGGTTGTTAGTATAAACTACAAAGATGGCACATGGATACTGATACTGTCACATGAGATGACATACGAGACTTGGGAAAAATGAGCTTGAAATATGCAGGCATATGTCTGAGTTTCAGAGAGAAAACGAGCTCTCACAGTGATACTAAATAGACAAGCCAGGGCAAAAATAATTGGCAATTGTTGTGAAGGATTTGAATTCGAAAACAGGTGTAGCTACTCTTGTTAAGGCACTTGATGAACTATATAAATGTGACACTTTTGGTTTAGGGTATGCAGTCATACTTGGAATTTGACATTTACAAGAATGCAGAAATGACTGTGGCAGAGTTCATTATTGAATAAGAAAGAAAATATTCACAATGCAAGAAGTATAACATACCAGATTCTGTGCTTTTATTCAAATTTCTGGATTGTTCAGGATTGACCAAGAACAAAAAACGACTAGTAATAACTGCTCTGACTCTATGAAATCTGCTCTTAAAGAATATTTGGAGATATCAGAACACAACTGGATGGATGTGAAGGAATTACTTTCTCACAAAAATGTGTATATTATACAAGGAACTATGGGTACAGAGGTAGATCACAAGAATGAAGATACTCTAGTTAAAGATACAGGTCAAGTTCAAGACAAATTTTCGTTGGTCAAGAGAAAATGTCCTCAACAGGATAAGCAAGATGAAATTAACCGAAGAAATCTAACAGTGCAATTTAACATTATTCATCAAGTATCCTCACTTTCAACTGTTTTGTCCACTGTAATCAACTGCATGCTATGTACAACTAACACAGATATTCCTCTGCTACTTGGAAAGCTGTCACTAAAGAAAGCAGAAACAATATTGTACTTGCCTAATGATAAGAATACCATCTCTAAGAAAACATTGAACCTGGATTTGACATCAACTGGTCACAACTGCATTGACTTGAGGAGACCTGATGGTTTAGATGGGACAAGTAGTGCAATACTTCTGAATTCCGACCTTTATAAGATGAACTTGATGTGACACAGTAGAGTCAAAAGACAACCTTAGTAAAAATGAGCTGAGAAAAGCATGTTGCATAAACACTTTGGACATGCTACTCTAGAGAGACTAAAGTTGATTACACTCAAATGCAGTAGTATAGGCAATTGTGATTCTGGACCACTGCCACAGGAGCCAGATTTATACCCCTGCACTACTACTACAGAGGTAATTTTTTATGCCAAAACCGCGATGCGATTCAATAATCGTCATGAGACTAAGCTAAATTGTAATGAAAAGTGCTCTGGATCACCCCACTTGAGCCATTCCCAAACCCTGTCAATGCTTCTATGTTGTAAATGATAGAAATTTTTTGGTATAGGTAATGGTGATTCTGGACCACTGCCACTGGAGCCAGATTTATACCCCAATTCTATTACTACAGAGTTCAATCTTTATGTAAAACCGCAATGCGATCCAACGATCGTCA